TGAGTTAAGCCAGATAGAATTGTGGAATCATGGAATGGTTTAGGTTAGGAGGGACCTTAAGGCTCATTCTGTTCCACCCCTGCCATGGGTACCTTCCACTGTCCCAGGGTACTCCAAGCCCCATCCAGCCTGGCCTTGGACACTTCCAACGATGGGGAATGTTCCAGTTTATCTTGGCTGGGGTGGCAAAGGTGCCCAATGCAGCAGTGGCTGAGCCTGTAGCTGGATGAGACCTGAGGCTGCACAAAACCTCATCTTCATTCATGGGGGGTCTCCCACTTGGGGAAAACCCTGGGGGTTTAGGATCTTTCAATTGGAGAGGCATTTGGGTCCTCAAATGCCTGGATTAAATGCTGGGAATGCTTTGGTAAATGCTTTGGAAAGTGTCACACTGTGGGAGGTGGAGTCTCAGTGGGATTTGCTGCAGTTCCAGAGGTGATGGTCTCTGCTGTGTCCTCACTGATGTTACAACTGGTGGTAGCTCCTCACTCAGTGCTCAGGTTACTGATGAGCCTGAGAGGTGCAGCTCATCCAAACCCCATCAGAACTGCCTTTATTGTTCCCACGCTCTGTAAGAGGTTTGGAAAACCACAACTTGGGATTACAATGGACATCTCAGTGTCCTGAGTCATCCTTCCCTGGGCTTTGGTGGTTCCATGTTTCACATAGTCTCTGGACCACCTCCACAACTGCAGTCTTTGTGTCCAAGGAGCTGCTGTCATTCCAGTGGTTCCTCTCAGTTCCACACGTTGAGGAGAGCAGGAACATGAGGAATACAGACAGAGTGAGGAGATGAGTCACTGATTAAACCCTTGGTGGGATTTTGGGGCTGCACTCCCAGATCTGGAGCTTTAAGGCCAAACCTTTTTTTCTGGGGACGTGAGGGACTCAGCAACAGCAAGTAGACAGAGGATGTGTCACAGACAGGGAAACCCAGCAGGGGCTGGGAATATCGACCTTTAAAAAGCCTTTTTCTCCTTTTTAATACAAATTTGGAAATCTGAAGAATGAAGCCGTTGGCATCTCTCTTCCCCATCAGGTTGGAACAGATTCCTTGGGATATTGCCCAAATAGTGCAGGAGTAACACCTTTGAAATGCAGGACAATCAACTGACATACTCTTGGAACACCAAAATTCTCTGGGATTTAGTGATGGGTTGTGGGAGCCCAGTTCCACAGGGTCCCTGAAGGGACATGGCAGAGAGGAAGAACAAAGGAAAAGCTGTTACCACTTTACAGAGGCTCTTCAGTGCCCTTGGATGGGCACCTTGGCTTTCAGCTTGGCTTTGCTTACAGAGGCACAATCCATGTGTCCTGGAGCACTTAAAGGGTTTGGGGAATCAAAAAGAAAAGTGTTTAATGACAGCACATAAGGAGGTGACAACGTCCCAGGGCTGCTCTCTTCAAGGACACAATTTTCCCTGTGCTCTTAAAGCTTTTTACTCCCTTATCCTCTCAGGAAGATGACAAATGTCACTGGACACAGAGAGGAGAAGGAAAGTTGGGGCCAGTTGGGGTTTCCAAATATCCTAAATGAACACATCCAGCTAAAGTTGATCTACTTAAGGTGGGATTCTACTCCTTTTAATTAAAATCTCCCCAAAATTTAGCCTTTAGGTTGCTCTAGAGTCTCCAGAGAGGGAGAGGCCTCACCTTCCTACTGACAACATTGGCTGCTGTTCTCCCTAAAAGCCTGGAATAAATGTTATATTTGGTTGAAAGAGCTGTGAGCCCAACAAACTCCTCCTCTGCACAGGTGTGGGGGGGTTTGCTCCTCATACCTGCAAGGGGAGGCAAAAACATCACTTTGCTCCTCATTATTCAGCTTAAACACATGGTGGGATCCTTGGGATTGTTCTGAGCAGGGCCAGGAGTTGGACTTGATGATCCAGCTCAGGATATTCCATGATTAAACAGGAACATTAATCTAATCCTCCTCTTCCACCTCCAAATGCCCAACCCAAGCAGCTGCTGATGGAAGTCACCCATGAGCACCTGGAGCAGATCCTGATCCTTGTGCAGCCTTTGCCATCCCAAAGATCCATGGAGTGACACCTCTCATCACTTGCAGGAGTGTCTTCCATGGGGAATTGCTGCCAGGAAAACCAGACCTGGGTATTTCTTTCTGCTGGAATTGTTGGGCAAATCCCTGGGAGTTTGGACTGTACATGTCTTTATTTTTCAGTGAAAGAGGTGGGTTCAGAGTGACAAAACTGCAGGAAAGGTGGGTGAATCCTTCCTGGAGACATTAAATAGGTGATTTTCAATCCCATCCTTGCTGGAATATCAACAGGGCTCTGTGCCATGGGTGGGAACACTTAATTCCTTTGGCTGCAATGGGATAAGGCTTAGCCCTGGAAATCCCTCTTCCAGAAGTGCTTTTATGTGATTTTCTTGGCATTCCCATGGCCTGGGAACATGTTCTGCTCCATGGAGGAGAAGTTCCTGCACGTAACCCCAAAAGCCACTCAGTGTTTCAGGGTAAAGCTGTGTGGGAGCTCTGGAGTTGAGCACTTTCTTTGGGATCCAGCCTAAAGGAGCTCAGAGAATTCAGCATTTTCTTGTTTGGGCCCTGGGTGAGTTGGCATCTCCTGGGAAGTGGAAGGACTGAAGTTGGCTCGTTGTCTCCAGGTGTTTAATTGCAGAGCTGGGCTGATCCAGCCTGGCTGACCCGGCCCAAACCTTGGCTTGGGAGCATCTCCCTGCCCTGGAATCACATCCTTGGTAACTCCTGGCCTGGTGGCTCTGCCAGCTGCTCCAGACAGGGGATGGAGTTAAAACCTGACTGCTGTCCCTCATCTGGAATGAGCCTTTCCAAAAGCTTAGCTCTGATCCTTGGGATCCATCTTCCTTGGTTGTAAAAACCTCTTGGAGCATTCCTGCTCTTCTGGCATTTCCAGGGACTGCTCAAAGTGCTCTCAGTCCATGGAGCGGGGGGGAGATGCTCCTGGGGAACAACTTTTGACCCCAAATTGTCTTTCTCCTCTTTGGCTGGTTGGGATGGTGGTGTTTATGGCCAGGTGAAACCAGCCCCACCTTCTGGTCTCTGCTGGCTGTTAATCGTGGACACCTCCCAAGGTGCTGCTTTGGGATCTCTCCCAAGGCTCCAGTGTTCCCCCTCTTCTCAGAGCAGAGACAGGGAGGAGTGGGAGATGGGAAGGCTCTGAGCAGCAGCTGGTGCCGAGGCCAAATCTTCTAAAATTACTCTAAAATGACTCTTGCAGGGGGATTTCGTGGTGGCACAGAAACCCTGCACTGCTCATTGTTTGATTGCAGTTTATTGAAGAAATTTCTTAAAATTCATATAAAAAGTTCATCAGGATCAGAAAATGGAAGGAACGAGCTGGTTACATTTTGGCACAGAATCTCCCAATCCTTTTCTTTGCCTCTCTCCCCTCCCCAGGAGAGAAAAAAAAAAAAAAAAAAAAAAAAAAAAAAAAAAAAAAAAAAAAAAAAAAAAAAAAAAAAAAAAAAGAAAAAAAAAAGCTGTACCTAAAGATGTTAAACCAGAGGTGTTTTTCCAAGTTGGGTCAAATTTATGGTTTGTGTTCAACAATTGTTGTTCCTTCTTTTCTTTCCCCCCCTTCTAACTCCCTTTCCCCCCCCCCCCCCCCCCCTGTTTTTAACCTGTCTCCAGCTTCTGAGAAAGGGAGTGATTTTCTGCTGTGACACCTGTGCATTATTTGGGCTTTGGACTTCCCCCCCTTCTTACCCCCCTTCCCCCCCCCCCCCCTGTTTTTAACCTGTCTCCAGCTTCTGAGAAAGGGAGTGATTTTCTGCTGTGACACCTGTGCATTATTTGGGCTTTGGACTTAAAATGATCCCTTCTGGGTGGGTGAGGAATTAATTGGACATTAGAGAGAGCCCTTTCACCTATGGAAAATTAAGGTTGAATTTTGGGATGTAGGTAGAGCAGGAGAGCCCTGGAGTGAGCCAGCAATGCCAGAGGAATTGGGGAATGGAGAAACTGCCTGTGGGAAGATGTTTTGTTTTCAATTTCTTAAGACTTTGGGGAGTGAGAGAGGAGTAGGTGGGAGGGAGCACCACGGGCTCAGCTCTCTTGGATTCCTGGGCAGGTGAAAGAACAGGCTCTGCTTCCAGAGGTAAACACAATTCTTGCTCCTCCTCTGGATTGGCACCGGGGCACTGGGAAGGTGCTCGCTGAGCTCCGACGTTAATGAGACTCGTTAATGAGACAGCTGATTGTTCACTGACAAGCTGCACTGCCAGCTGGGGGAGGGATAGGCAGGAGAATTGTTTGGACGGGGAGAGGGAGCGCTCCCAAGCTGAGAAATAGGGCTGGGAAGATTTTCCCTCCATGGCAAAGCGACAAGCAGGGATTCTGAGATGATTCCAAGGCTTTGTGCTGGCAGGGGAAGGTGCTGCTTGCCTTCCCGTGCTCCAGGTGAGCAGCTCAGCTCCCGTGGCTTTCTTGCGTGGTGCTTTTAGACACAAACCTCACACTGGAGCTGCTTTTTGCTCTGGAGCTGAATCCCCCCATTCCAAGCCTGCTGTTGAAACCCACTCCCAGCCCCAGTATGTTCCCACCTCTGTAGCTGCTCCCAGATAAGACCACGACTGCCATGGGAAAGCAGGGGCACAGGGTTCGTTTGGAAGAGTACAAAGGAATTTCAAGCTTTACTTTCACACATACCAGTTATTTCTTGGACAGTCTATCACTGACTGGATTTCACACATCTTATTTCTTCTGGCCTGAGGCATCTGAGTCTCCCAAGGGACAATCTCAATGTACAAATCCCTTCGAGTTCAAATTTGGTCGAGGAAAATGTGTCTCAGGCTCTTCGGTTTCCCTAGTCCCACCTAAAGGGCTGGAAAAATTATATTAATTTTTGTGCAGATAATTACAAGCTGCATCTTCCTTGTCTTATCCTCAATTCCAGGTACAATCAAGGAATCACTTAATATATTGTATAATGTATATAAATATATATATATTAATATATATAAAATATATTTGTGAGATGGATTACTTACAATATTCACAGCACCAACACCTTCTCCAGACAGCCTGGAAGAAAGAGAGGATGGAGAAATCAGGGTTCCTTATACGGATAATTTCAAGCAATATTTTCACACCAAGGACCTTGGAAAACAGACCCAGTGGGGGCTGGGTGTGATGGGGAGTATCCAAGAGGATTTGGAATGACACCTGTTACTGTGTAGGATGGGAGTGAATTCCCTCTGCAAAACTTTGTGACACTTTCACCTCCTTGCAAGGCAAAGGTGAGAACGTTTCTGGATTTGGACGTGATTTGGTTTGCAGGGGCAGTTCCCAGCAGCTCTCCTCACTCTTCCTGTAAGTCATGATCTCGATGTCCAGGGCCAGCTTGATGTTCATGAGCTCCTGGTATTTCCAGAGCTGCCGGGCCAGGTCAGCCTTGGCTTTCTGCAGGGCTGTCTCAAGTTTTTCCAGCCTGGCCCTGGTGTCCTTGAGGGCGATGTCCCCATGCTGCTCCATGTCAGCGATGGCCATCTGCAGCTTGGCCACCTGCAGGAACAATTCCAGTGGCCATGTGATGGGTCTGGATCCCACTTTCCAGGCCCCTTCCAGCCAGGAGTGGAGATGGGAGTGCCGCATGTTTGGGGAGGTCCTGTGCCTGCACCTTCACACTGCCCATGTCTGAGTGGAGCTGCTGGACCAAGTGGTTCATCTCTGAGATCCCCACCCTGGTGTTCTGGAGGTCATCCCTGTGCCAGCCAGCTGAGACCTGCAGCTCCTCCTCCTCCTGTGCTGGGTGGGCTGGGAGGTGATATGGGGGACAGGCAGAGACTCACCCTGCTCTGATCCTCTTTTCACCAGGACTTCCCACACTCATCCCCTTGAGCTTCCTCCTTCTGTCTCCTTCTGCTCCTCCATCTCTCATTATCAAAGCAGCATTTTCCCATAGAGTTGTGAAGAATCATGGAAAGGGAAAAGACCTTTAAGACCAAGTCCAACTGCCAAACATCTCCAAGGAACTATTTGAACTCCTCTCCAAATCCACTTCATTTTCCACCTGTCCTCACTGCTTGTTCTCTCCAGTATAAATTAGCCTTTGGGAAATGCTAAACAAAAATCTCCCTGTTTGTTTTCACCTCCTCACCTTGCTCTGGTACCAGGACTTGGCCTCAGCGCGGCTCTGGTTGGCAGTGTCCTCACAGTGTTCCTTGACTTTGGTGATGATGCTCTCCAGGTCCAGGCTCTGGCTGTTGTCCATGGACAGCACCACTGAGGTGTCAGAGATGTGGGTCTGCATCCAGCACAGCTGCTGTAAGTCAAACAAACTCATTTTCTGTGCCAAATGTTTCGCTGTTTGTTTGTCCTGAGCTGAGGTGTAGAAGAGAGTTGAGGAGGAGCTGCAGCACTGATGCGAGAGATGACTCACTTCCAAAAATTTAGAAAGGTTTATTAAACTTTATCAAAAATACAACAGAAGACTGAATAGAGAAAATATTATGGCGCCAGGAGCAGCAGAGGATTTTTCCCACCATGTGCTTATCCACACAATATAGGTTTCATCTTTTAACCCTTTAGCCCCACCCAAAGTTCTGTCTATCGACTCCTTTGCTGTCCAGTGGTGGAGTTAATTTCCTTACAACTTGATTGGAGATCAGCTGTTGCCATAGTAACGAGCTTACCATCCCAAATGTCCCAAACCCGGGCTGTCCCCTGATAACAGTGCAAGGGGGGTAAAACATTACTATAAATCCATAAAACTTCTCTTAACATATATACATGATTTTAATTGTGAGAGTCAACCATCGCATTACTCATCTATCACACTGACCAGCTCTTGGGCTCCTTGAGCCTCTGGAGACTGGGAAGATGGGGGAACAGCAGACTGAGAAATTTGGGATATTCTTACTGCTTCGTAGAGGGCTCACAGGAAGTTTATCTCATCTGCCAGGGAATCCACCTTGGTCCCCTGATCCACCTTGTTCACACAGGCAGCATCCACATCCTGGAATGGTGACAACGGAGCTTGGACCAGACCTTCTGTGGGTCATTGGGTGAAGTCTTTGTATCTAACACAAACCTTTGGAGTTTCAGATTAAATTAAGAACTGAAATTTCTTATTAAACCAGAAATGGAGGATTACTTAATGGAGAATTTCTCTGCACCGTTAAACAGAGCCAACAGTAAAGTAATTTCTCACTTCCACCTTTTTTTTGGGAGGGGAGGAGGGAGGATGTCCATGAATCCAAACAATGTCACACCACTGAATTTCCCTTTTCCTGCCAGACAGATATTTTGTACAATACTTGAAGCAGCAGAAGCTTCTTATTGTGTCTCCTGCAGGGGAGACCAGGGGGCTGTGGATGCTGGGACTGGACACAGAAAGGCTGAGGACTGGCAGAGCATCTGGTGAAGGCACAACATCCGGATGACCCAGAGCTGATCTGGGGGACCAGATCAGTGGGATCTGTAGGACACTCCTGAGTTTGGGATGAGGGACCTGAAACAAGGAGGAATTACAGCCCAGCACTGCCCCACTGGCACAACCAGGTGTTTCTGCTTCCTGGGATGACTCCACCTGTGCCCCATGCTCTGGGCCTGGCATTGCTGGATACAAAGGGTGATTTGAATGTGGTTTTTCCAAAGCTGTACCTGCTTTGGTGGTGGTGCCTCCTCATATTGAACATGACAAAGTTGTTCTCTGCGGTCGTGCATTTGTTGATCTCCTGCTGGTACCTCTGGGGAGGGAGAGCTCAGAATCCCTTCAGAGCCTCCACCCTGTGCAAGCCCGCTCTCCACACCAGGAGAGACCAAAGGGTCTCTTCCTGCAGGCGTTTACCAACAATCCACAGATTTTTGGAGGGAGCAGCGCTGGAACAGAGTCCTTGATGAAGCTTTACTGTTTTTACTTCTATGTCACTGATTGTGATGGAAAAGGCAGCACCCCTGGGCTGGAGGGTGGGAGGGGCCGTCTAGAAAAGCTGAAGGCCTCATCAAAGGCACCTTTTATCCCGTGAATGGAAGCCTTGTGCTCCCGAAATGTTCTGGGTGGAGCCGGGGGTGAGCTCATCGCCACACCTGGTTAGTCAGGAGAGCCAGGATCTGCGGGATGGCCGGGGAGGAGGGCGGGGGGGGGCCGGGGCAGGGAGAGTTGAGGCCACGCTCTTGGGAAAGGTCAAAACCCAGCTGGAGCCTGGCCCCTTGCCCAGCTCCCATGGAATGCTTAAATGGGGGAGATGAAAGAGAGAAAGAGAGGAGTTCAAAGGAAGGAGTCCGTGCAGGTAATAAACCACTGGCCTCTCCTGGCCCTTTCATGGGGGAAGATTTATTCCCATCAGGAATATCCATCCCTGAAAATAATTTCCATTAAGCAGAGGCCCAGCTTTGCGTCCATTTGTGGGTCTCGAAGCTCTTGGCCACATAGAAGAGAAAATTTAATGTCTGTTTTCCAGTTGCTGGATTAATGTTTGGCCCAGAGGAATCAGAGGTTTGGGTTGGAAGGGACATTAAAGATAATGTAATTCCAATTCCCATATGAGGAAGAAAATTTGGGATTCAAAAGTTTAAAATAGTTAAAGGTGGGAAGAACAAATTCCTAGGAAGCGGGGCAGGAGCCTGATGTTGTTTTGTAGGTGTAGATGCATGAGGATGGTCCCTGCCTAGCAACATATGTGATGTCATTGAGCTTCACCCCAGAATCCACTGATCCCAAAGGAATATTTGCCACTTTGTCAGACACAAGCAGAGCTCTAAAGTCTAAAGTGCTTCTCTGATGTGACCATTGACTGTCCAAGGATTTCATGTGCGTGCTGATTTCCTTCCCCAGGGCAGTCAAGGATGTTTCAATGCTGGAAGGAACTTTTCCTGTTGGGAAAAGTGGCACAGAGTGGCAGGCACATCATCTCCTGGGAAAGGAGAGCAGAGGGTTCAGGCAGTTCACCTCACTCCCACATCTCATTTTTCTGGTTCCACATTGACAATTTAAGCTCCTCATTTATTCACATCCATTCCCAGGAGATCCCTCATGGCCATGGGAGCAGGCACAAATACTGGATGGATGTTTTCCTGAAGTGCAGAGTGGAGGAGAGAGGGAACTCCTGCTCCCAAGAGCCCAGAGATGCTGAGCTGAAACTCGGGCCCAGGATCCTGGTGACTTTCCATGGGGTGGGAGGTAACTCCTCACTTTCCAAAGTGCTCAAACTATCCAATACATTGAACTAATTCTGATTTAGTTTTAAACTAAAAGAAGAGAGATTTACATGGGATATTGGGAAGAAATGCCTCCCTTTGAGGGTGGGGAGGCCCTGGAATGGAATTTCTGGAGCAGCCATGACTGCCCCTGGATCCCTGGAAGTGTCCAAGGCCAGGTTGAACAGGGCTTGGAGCAGCCTGGAACAGTGGAAAGTGTCCGTGCCCATGGCAGGGGTGGGATGGGATGAGCTTTGAGGTCCCTTCAACCCGAACCATTCTGGGATCTTGTGATCCCATGGATACTGATGGCTGGGATGGCTCCACACTGGGCTTCTCAGCTGACAAACACTGAGATGCAGCTCCAAGCAATTCAAGCAAAACACAGAGCTCCAGGGAGAACTTGGAGCCCCTTCCAGTGCCCAAAGGGGCTCCAGGAGAGCTGGAGGGGGACTTGGGACAAGGGACAGGGGGACAGGACACAGGGAATGGCTTCCCATAGCCAGAGGGAGGATAGATGGGATACTGGGAAGAAATTCCTCCCTGTGAGGGTGGGGAGGCCCTGGAATGGATTTTCCTGGAAGCTGTTGCTGCCCCATCACTGGAAGTGTCCAAGGCCAGGTTGGATGCAGCCTGGGGTAGTGGGAGGTGTCCCTGCCTGTGGCAGGTGGTGGGATGGGTTGATCTTTAATGTCCCTTCCCATCCAAACCTTTCCATGATTCTGAGGTCACATTTTTTGGGCTATCTTGGGCCTTTTCACTGACTCAGGAAGAACGGAGTGAAGTAAAACTGGACAGGTCTTTCTGTGGGTGTTGCCTACCTGACCTTGAAGTCCTCCACCACATCCTGCATGGCCTTGAGCTCAGAGCTGAGCTGCAGCCTCTCCTGTCCTAGAGCCTCCAGTTGCCACCTCGTGTTGCTGATGTACAACTCAAACATGGGCTCCAGGTTATTCTGCACAATTTTCTGGCCTTTCAAGAGGCTCCATTTGGTCTCCAGAACTTTTTTTTTGTTTCTTCAGGAACTGCACCTGAAAGCCATCAGAACAATATAAATAATTCAGGATCCTCAACTCAAAACTTCCTTGCTTTTCATGAAATGGAAGTTTAATATGGCAGGGGTTGTAAATGTTTTCTGTAATTTAAAGCATGATTTGATGGGCATGTCACCAAAAGATTATTGGTGGGAAGTTCTGGGAGCCAGGAGAAATATTCAGCTGCAAGGAAACCTGGAGAAATCATTTGCTCCGCATCTGGGTTGTCAAAAAGATCTATATGGACAGAGTGGATACGGAACAAAGTCCTGCACAAAATCCTGAACTCTGCTTTAATGATTTAGAATTAAATGTCTAACATTGAGAACTTCCTGACTCCATCTCCAGGTAATGCCAGAGCTGGAGGAGCAGAATGTGCCTCACCTTGTTGATGAAGGAGGCAAATTAGTTGTTGAAGGATTTAATTTGGTCCTTGTCCTCCTGCTGCACCTGCTGCACATTGGGGTCAATCTCCAGGTTCAGGGGCACCAAGAGGCACTGGTTGACCATGACCTTTTGGATCCCTCCAGGGCCACATCCAAGCTCTGCTTCTCCAGCTCTGCCTCCTGCCCTGGGCTGTCTCCTGTTCTGGCAGCCCCGGGCCCTCCACTCATGGCCATCCTCGTGCTCGCCCCAAGGCTGTGAGGGCTCCTCCTGCTGAAGGCTCCTCTGGCCCTTCCCGTGCCTCCAGCAGGGCCATGGGACATGGACTCGGAGCTGCGGCTGCTGTGCAGGATGGGCATCATGGAGGAGCAGCACCAACTCCGAGAGACCCAACACTGAAAGAGGACAATGAGGTGAGGTGGCAGAGGAGCAGGAATCTTTGTGAGAGAGGATCAGGAGTCTTCTCAGCCTTTTATGCTTTTGGAGAGCTGGGCTTGACCATAGCTTAAAGGAGTGAGCTCATGGGTTTGGTATCTAGCACTCAGTCACCCCCACCCGTTCTAATGCCACAGGATGGCAGAGACAGCTCACAAAACTTTCCAACCCATATTTTCTAAGGTGTTTTTCAAAGAGGAGATTACTGGTGGGGCAAAAAAAATCCATTTCCATCCACAAGTTGCCTTTGGGCTTGGTTTTAGCTTGGTTAAAGTAGTTCCTGTTTAGTTTAAAGCTGATGAGACTGAAGTTGCCGCAAGAGGGAATCCAGAGATTGGGAAAATGCCAGTTTGATGTGCTTTGCTAAAGAAAAATCCTGACTCTGCCCCCAGATTTCCAGACATTGTGGGGTATTACAACCTGTGCTGATCCAGGCAAGAAGTTCCTGTCTTGGTCTGCACTCCTGAGCTTTCCAGGCAGAACTTCATCTGCACTGAGGTGCTTCTGGTAAAGGTAGGGATTTGGGAGACAGCAGTGCCCTTGTGGGAGCCCAGAATTCTGAAATGAGAATTCTGAAAGTCCAGGGTCCCTGAGAGAAAACAAACTAAGGTGTGAAAGTCCTGCTTATAAGATGAGTCACAGAATGTCCTGGGCTGGAAGGCACCCACAGGGACCATCGAATCCAATCCCGGTCCTGCACAGACACCCCAAAATCCCACCCTATCCTGAAGGCCATTGTGTAAATGCTTCTGGAGCTCTGGCAGCCTTGGGGCGTTGACCATTTCCAGTGGTTTTGCTTCACCAATTTGAGATATCCTGGCCAATGGACCAATTAATGTGGTGGGTCTAGTGCTGGCCACACTCCAGTGCACCCACTAGAATATCCTCACTCATTTCCTGCTGCGAGATAGGGGGAAGGCAAAGCAGGCTCAAAACTTTAAAAGGGTATAAAGAAAGCTTTATTAACAGTAACTAAAAGAAAGAATAATAAGAATCAGAATAAAATCTTTAGAACACTTCTCCCGCCTAGAACTTTTTCTGTCTTATTACCAATTCAGTCAGTTTATCACTTCTAGAACAGTCTTTCTTCAATTCACTTAGGGAGAGAAGTTCCTCTTGTTAAAGTTGTGGAGACTTCTCCACAAGGAAACAGTTCTCTCATGGCTTTTAATTTCCATGAATAGCAGCCCTCCGGGAATCTGCAATCATGAAGTCCCTCCCATCTTTCACAGCCTTCCCACAGCTGTGTTTATGGGTCATGTCAACTTATGGAATGCTATTTTAAGGATGAGTTGTTCAAGAGCAAAGATTTTCTTTATCTATCTCTGAGATCATCTTCATCACTGAGAACAGAGGTCTTCTTCTTCTTTCCATGGGGCAGAGGGTCTTCATCACTCTTCCCTCTCTCTCTGTTCAAATTTCTCATGGAATCACAGCTACTTTAACATGTGCTTACTTAACATGGAGGCCTTTGTTCATATCTACAATTTGAACACTTAATCTCCTCATACTTTTTCAATGAGTTACAGGGAAAAAGAGTCTGATGTATCAATTACATCTTTCTCCATAGCTTTACAAAAGTATTTCAGCCCCAAAATCAAGGCATCTCCTCATCCATCCCATCTGGGACTTGACTCTTTCTTCACTGATCTTGGTGTCTTCATGTTGTTCCTCTGTGTGTTCTCACTCTGTTCTTTTCTCTCACCCGAGGGAGGATTGATGTCTGTAGGTCTCATCTGTGTACTGAAAGAGTCAATATCTCACCCAGGCCTGCAGATGGCTGTGATTTCTGCTGGGCAGTGGTGGAGCTGTTTACAATAGAGGATTTCTTCAGCAGCCATGCTGGGGGAGGGCCAGCATCTCAGCAGCCAGGCCAGAAACAGCCGCAACATGGCTGCGTGCCGATGGCTTTTCCTCCCCCTGCCCGGTGGTTGCGGATGAACCCCAACAGTGGCAGAATCTTGGCCGAGCCGGCCTGGCCCAGGGCTGCTCCTGGGGCCCAGCAGACCAAGCTCAGCCTGGGCTGGTGGCAGGGCAGAGCTTAGTAGCACCCAGGTGTTGGCAACCGCAGCCATGGCCTGGCCTTGGCCCTGCGGCCTCCCCTCCCCTGCCCGGTGGTTGCAGGTGAACCTCAATGGCAGCAGAATCGTGGCCGAGCTGGCCTGACCCAGGGCTGCTCCTGGGGCCCAGCAAACCCGACTTGGCCTGGGCTGGTGGCGGGGCTGGGCTTAGTAGCAGCCAGGTGTTGGCAACCGCAGCCACGGCCCAGCCTTGGGCCCACGGCCTCCCCTGCCCTGCCCAGCAGCCGATGGGGCACGGTGGGCTCCGCGGGAAGGGCCTCAGCCCCATGGCAGAGCCTGCCCAGCCCAGGCCGAGATGGGGCTGGGCTGGACTTGTTGATCTGATTTCAGGCCTGAAAAGAGAATTTCCAGGATTTTTAGTTTTCAACATGTGTGTTTACAGAGCTGTGTTCATCTTTCTAGTGGTTTAACAAAGTGTCAATATTTAGAATGACTCACCAATTCATTTTATCGGGAACAGAGGAAGCTCTCCGCAGCTCCTCTCAAAAAAACTCACTTCCGTGGTGGCTCCAATGATAAAACCAGCACACCATTCCTTGGGGAGTCTGTTCAGTGTCCTGACACCCTCTGGGGAAGAACCTTTCCTGATATCCAACCTCAGCTTCCCCGGCACAGCTCCAGCCATTCCCTGGGTCCTGTCCCTGGTCCCCAGAGCAGAGATCGGAGCTGTGCCTCAGGACAAAGCTGCAGCCCCCAAGGAGTCTCACCTCAGTCTCCTCTTTTCCAAGGTGGACAAACCAACCCTCAGCTGCTCCTTGTGTGATCCCTGCAGACCCTTACCCATCCATGTAGCTCTGGATGGAGCTTTGATGCTGGACAGTGCTTAAATAACAAACCAAACTCCAGCTCTGCTGCTGCAGTGGGATGTGGACTTGAGAGGCTGGAGAAAGATGGGCAGGTGCTGAAGAGGACAAGCCACTTCCTTTCCAGTGCCCCGAGGGTCTTTCACTGTCTCACAACCTCCTCTGGGGACATTATTTCTCCCAAAGAGGGTTACTTTGGGGGTTTAATGGATGTTTTCCATTTCATGGTAATGACAGTGGAGGTGTTTTACCAGTCCCTGCAGATGTGTATGCAGATCAGATGAGCTGCAGCACCCATTTTCCTGGGAAAACCAAATTTATATCCCTCCATGACTCATCCCATTCAATTACAAAGGTTTGGGTACAACTACTGTGGCATAGAAGGCTGAGATGTCATAATGTAGGAATTAAGAGAGAAGAACTTTCTCTTGTGCCAAGTAGGAAGGGTACATATCTTCCCATCCTCATGGAAATAGAACATCCAAATGCTTTATTCCTGTTGGATATGAGGTCCATGAAGCTGGAGAGGAAGGAGATGTCTCAACTTGTGTGTGACTTTTTTTACCTCTAAAGCAGCAAATTTACTGTGCTGCACCAACCACCCTTTGCCACAAGGTAAGATAAAAGAATTGTAATTAAAAAGAGGATGTGACATAATTAATTCCACATGCCTTTTATTAGACAAACACCGGGGAATGAGGGATGTTGAGGGTCAAAGGAGAAACAGGAGCACACCATCTTTTAAATACATAATGACACATGGGTTTGATTTCCGAATCTTTTGAAGGAGCTGGATGAGGACTGGACCCAAGAGAAGCCTCAGTGCTGGTGGCACTGGGGCCTGGGAGTCAGTTCCTCAATAACATCTCCTGGTGGAGATGGAGTTGAAGCTGGAGCTGCTGCCTCCGACCATGCATGAGCCACCTGTGCCATATCCACTTCCGGAGACGGAGCCTATTCCCATTCCAGCGCAGACCCCACCTACAGCCCCACCACTGGAGCTCAGGCAGTTGCTGCTTCCATATCCCATTCCTGAAGTGGTCACAGCTGCCAGAGGAAAACACCCTCATGAGAGGAATCCACAGGCAGTGGATGAGTGGGAGAGGCTCTGAGCAGGGGTGGGAGGTAGATCTAGAAAGTGCCAAAAGTCTCTAAAAGTTACTTACAGACGTTCACTGAGCCAGCACCTTCTCCAGAGAGCCTGTCAGGGAGACAAAGAGAGCCAGTGAGACTTCAAAGGGAACCCATGAGCAGGACCTGCTCACAAAGGCAGGAAAATTTCCTTTGAATATTTTTGAAAGGTGGGAAGTTTGTATGAAAGGCTGCTGTTCCCAAGCAGCTCCCCTTCACAGGCACTCACTGGTCTTTAAACAGCTTTCATATCTGAATGTGGGCCTGACCAGGGTCTGCAACTCCACTGCACCTCTGAAAACTGGCATATAAAATCTCACCCACCTGCACTCCTCGCCCTCCAGAAGCTTCCTGTAAGTCACGATCTCAATGTCCAGGGCCAGCTTGACATTCATGAGCTCCTGGTATTCCCGGAGCTGCCGGGCCAGGTCAGCCTTGGCTTTCTGCAAGGCTGTCTCCAGTCCCTCCAGTTTGGCTCTAGCGTCCTTGAGGGCTGACTCCCCACGCTGTTCTGCGTCAGCAATGGATGTCTGCAACCCAGTTACCTGCAAGGGAAAATCCAGATTTTCTTTCTTTATTGAGAGCATAATCCAGCTCTTTGTATCTTGAGGTCCTGATCCCAGATCTGATGTTGGGTTAACATCAATAGGTATGATCTTAATCATCACTGATCCATGAATTGAATTCAATTCATTGAACTGATCCATGTTCTGAGCCAGGTCACGATCTGGATTTACCTCCACAACTCTCAGAATCTCCTTGCCGTCATTGATAATACACTAACTCTTGGTGATGTCACTGCTCTGATACAAATCCAGTCATGTTCATTCCTGATCCAGCAGAACTCCCTTGGTTGAATTTACTTTTATTCCCTGGGTAACTCAGAGATCGGGTCACAGGAAGGGTTACATTTGATGCACTGGCGATGCCCTTTACCTGTTTTTTCACGCTGTCAATCTCGGATCGCAGCCGCTGGATGTGGCGGTTGAGCTCCGAGATCTCCTGCTTGGTGTTCCGGAGGTCGTCCCCATGCCTGCCAGCCGTGGCCTGCATCTCCTCGAACTGTCACAGAGAGGAACAACCAGTCAAAGGAAAACGAGCTGGATTTAGAGCCCAACAGAATGTAAGTTTGGGCATGTTTGCGTGTTCAAAAATGTGTGTGTGTGTTCCCAATCCCAAATTAACACTTCCGAATTTCATAGGGTTAATAAATCTGAAGACATTCTGTGTTTCAAAATCACAGTGGGACCCACCTCCCCAGGGGAATTTGGGTATGGGAAGATGGTTTTCCCCTTGCAGAAGCCTCCTCAGGTGCTTACCCTGGACTGGTACCAGGACTCTGCCTCGGCGCGGCTCCGGTTGGCGATGTCCTCGTACTGCGCCTTCACCTCGGCAATGATGCCCTCCATGTCAAGGCTACGGTTGTTGTCCATGGTCAGGATAACAGAGGTGTCAGAGATCTTGCTCTGCACCTGGGACAGCTCCTGCAAAAGCAGCAAATATTCCTGAGTCACAACACAAACTTTGTTTGGAGGATGGAAAGCCCCAGGGTTAGCAGGGATAGCTGGGTGAACAAAAGGATTTTTCCAAGACTGCTTCAAGCAGAAATGTGAAATGGAAAAACCATTGAATTATTTAGTGCAACACAGGGGAAAATAATCAGCCCTGAGGCTCTGAAATGGGAAAGGAAGGCAAGGACTGGGAGAAGGATATAAGCTCTGGTGCTCACAGCTTCGTAGAGGGCTCTGAGGAAGTCAATCTCCTCTGTGAGAGAATCCAGCCTGGCCTGCAGATCGGTCTTCTCCAGGTAGGCAGTGTCTGCCTCCTAGGAGAGGAAACACATTACCAGAATGAGGTGAGTTTAAAAGAAGCAGAGGAAAAGCTGGAGAAGGGGTTTCTTGCAGGGCTGGGAGGCCACATGGGCGTGCACCCACCTTCTTCAGGGTCACAAACTCATTCTCGATGTCCGTGTGCTTGTTGAGCTCCTCTTCATATCTGTGGAATGGACGTGGAGGGGTGGTCTAGGCTCGTTTTAAAATTATTTCATGTTTTCAGGACCAGCCTCTAATTTTTTTTGTATGTATAGTTCTGCACCTTGGTGTTTTTGCCCTGTAATTTTCTCCCTGTTACTTTTCAGCCATATCTTGTATTAAACCCTTTTAATACAGAGGAGGCTTTTCTCAGAGGAGTAAGTCAGCAAAAAGGCTTTTCCCCCCTCATTTTCTGCATCTGTTGCAGCCCACCCAGGCCCAGGGAGACCATGAACAGACTCACTTGTTCTTGAAGTCCTCAGCAATGCTCTTCATCTTGCTCAGCTCCCCTCCCAGGTTCTCCTTCTCTGTCATTAGGCTGCTCAGGTGCCTCCTGAGGTTGTTCAGGTAGGTCTCAAAGAGGGGCTCAATGTTCATTCTCACTGTTTTGTTCCCCTGTTCTTGCAGAAGGGCCCACTTTGTCTCCAGGACCTTGTTTTGTTGTTCAAGGAATCGGACCTGGAAAGAGAAGGGTATTTTAGCATGGTTTTCCTGTGAGGCACATCCTGCAAGGATTCACTTGCTGGAAGGTGGAAGGTCTCAGCCCTTCAGGAACAGCTGACAATTTAAACACTCCTGCTCTCTTTCCCAACTCTGCTTCCTTACATCCAGTACCACCACTTTGTCCCTGTTTTCTGGTCTCACTACAGCATTCCTGAAACATGTAAATGGTCTCAAAGCTGGAAACCCTCAGGATTTGTTCCCAGGCTGCTGGGATTTTAGAACTGACAGTACAGAAGCAGCAAAATTGTGGCTAAAGATATAATTCACCCTTGTTTGTGCTTCTCCAGCAAAGAATCACCACAGCACAACCAGGAATCTCAGGTCTCACCTTGTCGATGAAGGA